GCGGCCACTGCACTCCAGGCTGGGCGACCGAGTGAGACTCCAACTCAAAAAAAAAAAAAATATATATATATATAGATATATATATCTATATATGTATATCATTAATACCACTCTGCACCAGCATTAGTTCCAACTGACAGGACATACATCATTAGTGCCATCATCACGCCTCTTCTCTCTTTAGCTCTCTTCAGGAGAAGATTAAAGTTGTCTAATGGAACACCATGCAAGAATTCTAAAATCTATATATAAAAGTTCACATTCCTGCTGATGTGCTCCTCCTAGTGGACATTTGTTTGATGATCCCCCCCCCCATATACAGTAGTCCCCCTCATCTACCTGGGATCTGTTCCAAAATCCCCAGTGTGTACCTGAAACCACAATAGTACCAAACGCTATAAATACTATGCTTTTTCCTATACATACATACATACATACAATATAGTGTAGATACACTGGACAAAGGGAATGATTCACAGTTCACGTGGGACAGTGTGAGATTTCATCATGCTACTAACAATGGTACACAATTTAAAACTTATGAATTGTTTATTTCTGGAACTTTCCATTTAATATTTTTAATATATATATATTTTTTTGAATTGGAGTTTCACTCTGTCGCCCAGACTGGAGTGCAGTGGCCGCTTCCGGCCACCGCAGCCTCAACCTGCTGGGCTCCGGCGATCCTTCCGCCTCAGCCTTCCACGTAGCCGGAATTATAGGCATGCGCTACCATGCCTGGCTGATTTTTTCATTTATTGTAGAGATTAGGTTTTGCTGCCCAGGCAATCCACTCACCTCAGCCTCCCAAAGGCGCGGGATTACAGGCTGAGCCACCGAGCCCGGCTAATTTTTTTTTAAACAGGGTATTGCTGTCGCCCAGACTGGAGTGTAGTATCTTAGTCATAGCTCACTACAGTCTCAAACTCCTGGGCTCAAGCAATCCTCCCGCCTCAGCCTTCCGAGTAGCTGGGATCACAGGGACATACCACCATGCCTGGCTAATTTTTAAAATTTTTTTGTAGAGATGGAGTCTCGCTTTGTTACCCAGGTTGCCATTTAGTATTTTTGGACCTCAGTTGACCTTGGGTAACTGAAACATCAAAAAGCAAATCTGCAGATGAGATGAGACAGGACTATACTATGTAAAACATCTATATCAACTCACTCAGTCAGTTCCTTCTTCTAGGCATTCTGACTGTCAAAGGATTATCTAACTGCCATGTCATTCTCCTACCTCTTGGAAAGGGCAGTTTTGTATAGTTTCAAGTTGCTGTCTTTTCAATTCTCCTTCCACAGATCTGCCCCATTCTCACTTTTCTGTGCTCTCCTCTTGTTTTGCAGGTTAGGAACTCAGTAAATCAGTGGAGGTTTTGAGTATGGGCTTGTAGGTTCTGATTAATGTTACCTTCCCTTTTGCGCCTCTATCCTAGTGGCAGTAGTGGCTTCCTGCTCTTACTGATCTCTGGGAAATGTTATCTTTTCTTCCAACCCTCTCAACACTTAGACACAAGTTCCTCTGAGTAGTTTTTGTTTTCCTGATTGAACACAAACTTTCCAAATCCAATTTACCTCCTCCCTTGTAAAGAAGTTGCACTTGCAAAATTACTAACTTCCTCATGCCAAAATTAAAGGACATATCTCTATCAGTGCAAATCACCTATTTTTTCCTTCTTCTGTCTTTCCAAATTCATCCTTTCTCTCCATCCCCAAAATTCTGCCTTTACATTCTTTTTTTTTTGAGTTGGAGTTCTCATCCTGTCGCCCAGGCTGGAATGCAGTGGCACACTCACGGCCACCGCAGCCTCGACCTTCTGGGCTCAGGTGATCCTTCAGCGCCAGCCTTCCAAGGAGCTGGAACTACAGGTATGCGCCACCATGTCCGGCTAATTTTTTTTATTTATTGTAGAGATGAGGTCTCACCAAATTTCCCAGGTTGGTCTCAAACCTGTGGGCTCAAGCAATTCTCTCACCTCAGCCTCCTAAAGTGCTGGGATTATAGGTGTGAGCCACCACGCCCAGCTTTACAGTCATTCTTACTCCTAAAAATAATGAAAAAGTTAAATTCTTGAGCCTTCTAATTCCATTTTACTCAATATTGATTTTGTGAGTAAAGAAGTTTTCTAAAGCCAAGGCAAGTGGATTGCCTGAGCCTGTGAGTTTGAGACCCACCTGGGGAACTTGGCAAGACTTTGTCTCTACTGGTGACTTGGAAGGCTGAGGGGGAAGGATCATCGGAACCCAGCAGGTCGATACTCAGGTGACCAAGAGCATGCCACTGCACTCTATTGGGCGACAGAGAGAGATTCAGACTCAAAAAAGAAATAAAAAGTTTTCTAGATGGAAGAGGATACAGCTAGTTCTTACATGACCCCACCAGAGTCTAACGTGCCCTGCATACTGCTGTGAACAGAGGAAATTGGCAATCTCCCCTCTACCCACTTCCTAATCATTTATGAAAATGGTTTTCATTCCAGCCCCAAACTCACCATCTTCAAACAACTCAAGCAATTTTGCAACATAAGGGTTCTCAGCATCATTCCCTTCAATCAACACAAACTGTCCAACCTGGATGTGAATCTCCCTTGAGCACCCTTCTATTTTCACACACATTTCTCTAGAAAGCAACAAAGAAACATATTAGGAAATCACCAAGGGTGGGTCAAGTTCTTCAGACCCTCTTGACACAAAGGAAAGTTCTCTCCAACTGGGAAATTCCCTAAGTAGTTTCTCTCTGCTGACCAACTCTTTTACTAGAAAACCAAGTCACCCAGTTATGCATAAGAGTAGATAAAATGGGTTAAATAAACTGTTTTTAGTATGAGAGGATTAATCCAAAGGTCTTCATATGAATCCTAACATATCTTGGTTATTGACAAAAACAACAACAACAAAGTCTCCCCAAGGTTGGTAAGCTGCCCAATAACAGTATAAAATTGTTCAGAGATCGCTATGGCTGGGAAGAACGTAACAACATCTACCATGAGGTTATCATGAAGAGTTACATAGAACTCACCTTAAAATAGATGTGACATTGTCATATATATTAAATTTTATTAAACCATCATAATTTTGCCCCATCACTAGCTGCTATACTTATGCCACCGTCTTCTTGCATCACACAAAATCCCTCCTTACAATCAATGCACATCTACTGTCCCTTAATCGTCAATATGTAGTACTAGTACAGGCTGGATGCAAGTTATTAATGGTTTAGTTTAAGCTATATTTCCAGGACAATCAAAGGACCCCATCACTCACTTGTAGGTTTGGCGGTGCAGTTTTCGATCCAACAATGGCCTGCCAACCCATGAATAAGTCTGTCTGGTCTTCAGCCTTGTGGGGTAGTGTGCCATGGCTCCTGTGAAAAATTCCTAACTGAGTTACCCTGACAATGCCCTGATGGACTCTAAGACACAGGCCTTGCCTTCAATGAGTTTATCCTTTGTGTCTCCCCTCACTCCACACTCTCCCATGTTTTAGACTTAAAAAACATTATCTCTGAAGAAAAAGTCAAGTCTGTGAAGATTACACATAGGCAACTTAGTATCATTTGTATCAGTCTTGTACAACTGTTATCTCTTCCTACCCAGGGAAACAGATCCATTTCTAAGAAAAGAAACTAAATATTTAGAAGTACTTACTAGGAACAAGGCATAACAATAAGGTGTAAAATATCTAACATGAAATTAATTTATAATCCAGATAGGGATGAAATATAAATGCAGTAAAGAACAAGTAATACTGTGAAGAGCCCAGTAAAGCCACTGAAAGTTAGAGGACGAGGTCTTCTGGCTGTTCAGGGAGGATGGGCTTCCTAAAGGGGTTTTCTGAGCTGAATATTAAATAATTAGTAGATACTGGTAAGATAGAATGATATGGGGATTCCAAGGGATGGAGGAAAAAACATGCAAAGAGCATTTGGGGAAATGGCAAAAGGTTTTATCAAGTATAGTGTATCATCCACTTACATTAACAAAAAATTATCAGTGTCACTAACCTGTACTGTTCTGGCAGCAGGAAGAGATATTTTTTTCTTTGCCAATATTAGATTTGAGTATTGTGAATAACTGGAAAGAAAAGTTTGAATTAAAGTACGTGAAAAACATTTTTATTGATAAAAACAAATGTAAATGAAAAGTCCAAACATAATTCTCTTTACAATTTGGAAACTGTAATCTACAAGTTCTAATGATAATGCCAATCCATTATTGTAAGTCTAAGTAATCTTAAAAATAATAAGATTTTCCCCTGAATTCCATATTTTTATGGAACTAAAATTTGGTAAAACTGGGTAAAAAAATTAGAAAATCCGGTCTGACAGCAGTACTCAGAATTACTGACAGACCAATAATTCTAGGACAGCATATCAATATTAAAATTAAACAAACTGATTTATTAAAGTTCTATGGCATTATGTCCTATATTCTATTTGGAAACATTTAGACCCATAAGATTTTCTGCTTTTAAAGGTATTATTTACCAAACTTTGAGAAACTAGTAGCAAAAAAAAAAAAAAAGAGAAAATATTGTCATTAGAAAATAAACTGCTAGCTGGGTGTGGTGGCTCACGCCTATAATCCCAGTACTTTGGGAGGCTAAGGCAGAGGATTGCCTGAGCTTGTAGGTTGGAGACCAGCCTGGGCAGCATGGTGAGACCTCATGTCTACAATAAAATAAAAAAACTAGCCAGACATGGTGGCACATGCCTGTAATTCCAGCTACTTGAAAGGCTGAAAGAGAAGGATTGCCTAAGCCCAGCAGGTTGAGGCTGTGGTGGTGATGAGTAGCGTTGCCACTACACTCCAGCCTGGGTGACAGAGTGAGGCTCTGACTCAGGAAAAAAAAAAAAAAAAAGGAAAATAAACTGCTTATAAAAGATGCATGAAAGATAGCCATTAAGCACACTTAAAGAGTATAACTAACAACATATTACTATTAAAATCAATGCAATTAAGTACAGTGTAGAAGAAATGAACCAATAGGTAAGATTTATGAGAAAAAACAAGATTTGTGCTGAAGAAAAAATGAATCTGGATTCATTATCTTCAATAATCTTTTAGTAAAAATTGGTAAAGATGTTTGAATCTAAATAAATGTTCAGGAAAATGTATATACTAATATACCTTCAGTATATGTTCCTTTTAATGGGCAATGTAACACAGAAGTAAACTCAGAACTTTTTGCTGTGTCCACAATCAGGCAAAATATGCTCCTGAGATACAGACAAAAGATTCTAGTACATCACAGTACCCACTAATCTCACTTATTTGAAAAATAAGAATACCACTAAGAGTGCTTTGTAGCAAACTGGTATCCCCCAGCAAATATTTCACAATTCTGGAATAATATAATTAGGATAAATGGCCTGATTTGTCACTCTGACATTTTATTTCATTTTTTTTCAGACTAAAACTTGGCATATGGAAGAACTGTTTCCATATCTATAAGGTACTAATTTATACTTAACGGCATCAAATCCATACCCTCAATTCTTTTAAATCCAGATATTTTAGCTTATTAAAACAGGCATCCTCCTTCAGAAACAAAGCCAAGGTAAAAAACTTAACATTCTTTTTCCAGAAAACCATAGATGGTGCTCAGTGAGACTGGTATATGTATCTATGTGTGTAAGGGTGGGTGAGTCGCCCTAGGCTGAGAAGGCAGGATTACAGGAAGGAAGGCTACAGGACCTGGACCTCATAACCTGCCTTGCCTCTATCACTTTGTTCCATGTCTGCTTTTCCAAACCTCAAATAGACCAAATGCCCCAACACTTACACAGCTGCTGTTTTCTCCAGCATCTTTGCAGGAATGGCTCAGTCTCAGCGCCAATGAAATTCCCTCAGAGAGGCCTTCACTAACATCCAGTGTAAAGTTACCTGCCCCTTCTTACACTACTCTCCAGGGTCACATTCCATTATACTACCCTATTGTCAAAATAATAACCTTTAAGCGGGGCACAGTGGCCCATGCCTATAATCCCAACACTTTGGGAAGCTGAGGCAGGAAGATAGCTTGAGCCCAGGTGTACAAGACCAGCCTAGTCAACAAAGTGAGACCATGTCTCTACAAAAAACAAAAAAAATAGTCGGGTGTAGTGGTGTGCATCTGTAGTCTCAGCTACCTAGGAGGCTGAGATGGAAGGATCACCTGAGCCCAGAAGGTCAAGGCTGTGGTGAGCAGTGATTGTGAGTGAGACCCCGACTCAAAAGAAAATAATCATCATTCAATTATTTTCTAATTTATTGTGCTTCCCACACTAAAATGTTAACTTACAAAAGAGCAGGGACCTTGGAACTGCATCTATCTTGTTCATAACCGCATACCAAGGGCTTAGGTCAGGACTTGGCACATAATAGGTAAATGAATGATTGAATGAACAGGTTTTAAAAATCATCAGGACAATACCAAGTGGGGTGAGACTGTAGAGAAGTCAGAACTCTCACATACAGCCAGAGGGCATGAACTTCAGAAAATTGGCAGTATCTTCTAAAGTTGAACATATATATATCCTATGACCCAGAAATTCCAACAGAACATATCCAACAGAAATACATACATATCATCAAGAGACATGAACCAGAATATTCATAATAGCACTATACAGCAATAAAATTGAACCAACTACAAGTACACACAATAATGTGGGGGGAAATCCTCCAAAATGATATCGAGGTAAAGAAATCAGAAACCAAAAGAATACATACTACATTTATTCCGTTTACATAATGTTCAAACACAGACAAAAGTAATCTATATTATTAGAAGTCACAAAAGAAGGGAACCTGTGTAGCTGAAAGGGAACACATACCAAGGAGAGGGAGTGCATCTGGGACACTGGTCATGCTTTGTTTCATGATCTGGGTGCTAGCTGCATGAGTATGTTCTCTCTAAGGAAACTCAATGAGCTCTTTATCATTGAAGCACTATTCTGTATGTATATTATTCTTCAATGGAAAGTTAAAAAAAATCAGGAAACCTTCTGAAGAGGCCACATAAGGAAGTCAAAGCAGATGTCAGGCTTCTTGTGTGTTACCCCACTTTCCTACCTCGACTCAGCTCAATTTGCTAAATGAAAGATAGACGTTATTATCACTTCAAGGTGATAACTTGTCCAATGTTACACATGATAACACAGCCTCAACCTAGACCCAGAAGAGCCAGATTCCAGTGCTGTGCTCTTAACTACCTCACCTTAGGACACTGTGTGAGATTGGATAATGTTAATTTACAACTCAGAGCTTGCTTTTGGTGTGCTTATTACCAGACAGGGTTCCCAGTCACTAACAGAACAGTCGATTGGGCCTCCATTTCCTTACCCACAAAATGGAGATACCAGAATCTTCATTTTACTCAACCAATACTTATTAAGTACCCATTGTGAACCAGGCACTATTCTAGGAAGATTAAGTGAGAAATGCAAAATGGTAAATTCACTCCCCCACCCCCATAAACCTTTACACTTATTTTTAAGGGATTGTGGTTTTATTTATTTATTTATTTTGAATCAGCATCTCACTCTGTCGCCCAGGCTGGAGTGCAGTGGCACGCTCACGGCCACCGCAGCCTTGACCTGCTGGGCTCAGGCAATCCTTCCGTCTCAGCCTTCCAAGTAGCTGGAACTACAGGAACGCGCCACCACGCCTAGCTAATTTTTTTATTTATTTAGAGATGAGGTCTCACCAAGTTGCCCAGGCTGGTCTCGAACCCGTGGGCTCAGGCAATCCTCGGCCTCCCAAAGTGCTGGGATTATAGGCGTGAGTCACTGCGCCCGGCCTACTTATTTATTTTAATATAATTTGATGAATATTATGGAACTCGCATAAAATTCACGCAGAGTTTTGCATTCAATTTCAGGGGATTAATGAATCTTCTAAAAGTCACATACTGCCCTCCATTACAGTAAACATGTTATCAGGACTTGGTAAACCACGCTCTAACACTGGAAACTCCATTGGCATTCCCAAACCACTTAAGAGAGCAGGGAAGAGGGTACTAGTATTCATATTTTACAGACAACTAAAATCTTATCTAATCATTGTAGTTTCACAAACAGTGGGTCAGAAGAAGAATCTCACATCTGTAAATCCAGTGCTTCTTCCAGAAGAATAGAAGGTCCTTCTAATCCCGGGTTTAGAGAAGTAGAAAGGGTGCCACTAGACTCTCCTGGAAACAAGATGGACGAGAGCCCAGCAGTTAAGAGCAGCTCATATGGAATAACTCCTAGGTAGGAGCCCAGGAGGCTTAGTCACGAGAAACGACCTAGACTCGTCCTTCTCCGGGCGCGATCGCTACATCCGTAAAATGGGGTAGTAACATCTGCTCAGCCTTCCCTGTAGTGCTTGCTAAGCTGGGACGCAAAGGAGGAAATGTGGCGAGGGCTTTACAAAGGCCATGCAGATGGCATGAAAGGCTACATCGGGACCGAGTCTCAGGACGCGGGGCGGGAAAGCTCGAGCTACTCTACTGCTGGCTTCCGGCTTCCCCACGGCGAACACTCAGTCCCTGGCGGAGAGCTAAGCCTTTCAGGAATCGAGGTGTGGCAAAGAGGAACGCTCCAAACGGCTCAGAACAGTGCCTAACACCAAATAGGCGCTTGGTACATGTATGAATCAATGAGTGAGTCTACAGAGAATAGCATCCTCAGTTCCAGAGGCTCAGGTGACCATCCTCTCACCCCGCGAACGCCACACTCACCGGGTGCCAGAGTTTACTCCCCCAAGCCCTTCGTTTCCCACCGTCTCCGCTTCGGGAGCTTTGGCGGAGGCAGCAACGCAAACCTGCCCCAACTGGACTCCTCCTTTTACAATTACGAGCCCCGTGCCAGAGCCAGGGCTGGTGTCTTGCCGGGAATGGAAAGATGGAGAAGAGGAAAATTCGCGCCAAACGGCGTGGCCCCGCCTCCAGGCTGTCGCTTCCTTACGTTACCAACCAGCACGCCCCGATCCGCCCCGCCCACCCAAGAGGGTCCGTGACGTATTTCCGCCAACGTGCAGCGGCCACCATCGACGCAGTTCAAGAAAGAAGTTCCTTACACTGCAGTGTTTCCGGTTTCAAGATGGTCGCTTAAGTTGTTTAGTGAGATTTCTTCCACCTTTTTCCATCCCTCTTGGGTGTTTTTTGTTTTGTTTTGTTTTGTTTGTTTTAATGACCTGGAAGTGACGCATTAGAAGACTCGACGGAAGTAGAACTGAAGACGTTCTAAAATGGCTAACCGTACAGTGAAAGATGCGCACAGCATCCACGGCACCAACCCTCAGTATCTGGTGGAGAAGATCATTCGAACGCGCATCTATGAGTCCAAGTACTGGAAAGAGGAGTGCTTTGGACTTACGGGTAAGCGGAATCGCGCGGACCCTCTCTTGGCCTCCCTGTGGCTCATTTCTCCTGACCGAGGGCGGCTAGGACTGGCGACTGGCTCCTAAAAGTGGCACTGGAGAGGGGTATGTCATTCATTCAGAAAGATTTGAGTGCCTACTGTGTGTTTAGTCTTGTGTTGAGCACTGGTGACACAGATGAATCAGATAGGGCCTTATTCTGAAGGTTGTCTCAGTCGGGTTGCAAACAGTGTTAAGCTCAGGGACACAGATATACCTTCTTGTCATGGCTTCTTGAAGGTCTTTAAGAAACGTTAACATGACCAAAAACAAATTTGTGATCTTACCATACTTAAATCTGGGCCAGTTCCAGTATTTCTAGATCGGAGTCTAATATAAATATGAATTCTTCAGAAAGGTAGTCTTCCGATCTCTATTTGAATTGTAACCTTAAATCCATGCCCTGCAGCACTCTGGCTGTGGACCTTCAGCAAGCTACTACCTTTCTTAACCCTCATTTTCCTTACCTGGAAGTAAGAACAGTATTAGAACTTTCTTTATGACTTGTAAAGATTAAATGAGATAATATGAGGTGTTTAGCCGAGATTCTAGCATATAATAAACCTTTAGTGTACATTAGATACTATCGTTATTATTAATGCACATTTGTTCTCCTAATATTAAACTGTTAATGAGTATTTAGGAGCACCAAACCTTGAACTAACTCTTTACTTCCAACCAGAAAGAGCTTAGCCGTAATATATCTGAAATGTTATTCTATTTTTTTTTTTTTAGCTGAACTTGTAGTGGATAAAGCCATGGAGTTAAGGTTTGTGGGTGGCGTCTATGGTGGCAACATAAAACCAACTCCTTTTCTGTGTTTAACCTTGAAGATGCTTCAAATTCAGCCCGAGAAGGATATCATTGTAGAGTTTATAAAAAATGAAGATTTCAAGTGAGTGCAATGTTGACTAGCTAATATAAGAGCTCCAGTTTTGATGATTCAGAATTGGGCTTTGATAAAGAGGTGTGAGTACAATAAGGTGGTAATTAAGAGATGTTAGATCTTGGTTCATGTTCAGACTCTATTGTTCATTAACTGTGACCTTGAAGAAATGACTTACTTTCCTAATCTGTAAAAAGAGGACAACCTACTCATAGGATTGATGAACTGACGTGAGAGTTAAAGAAGATAATGCATGTAAATCTTTCTTTTTTTTTCTTTTTTTTTTTTTTTGAGTTGGAGTCTCACTCTGTTGCCCAGACTGGAGTGCAGTGGCACACTCATGGCCACCACAGCCTCAACCTGCTAGGCTCAGGTGATCCTTCCGCCTCACCCTTTCAAGTAGCTGGAACTAAGGCATATGCCACAGGCCCAGCTACTTTTTTTTGATTTATTGTAGAGGTGAGGTCTTGCCAAGTTGCCCAAGCTGGTCTCGAACCCCTGGGCTCCCAAATTGCTGGGATTATAGATGTGAGCCACCACACCCTGCCACATGGAAATCTTTCCACACAGGAATGTTTACCATGCAACAGGCCCTATAGCATGGCAAATATCTAAAAAATGTCAGCTGTTGAATTGTACCCCCACATCTTTAAAATAATATAAATAAATAAATTTTTTAAAACTGTCAGATGCTCTTAATAGTTTATTATCCATTCTCAAGGAGCTCACAGACAAGTACAGGAGACAGATATGATAATAGCTTATTATGTGCCATACTCTGTTCTGAGGGTTTTACATATAATTCATTTAACCTTCACAACAGTCTTCTAACCTTATTATCCCTATTTTACAGGGGAGGAAACTGAGGCATAGAGGGATTAAGTAATTTGCCCAAGGTCAAACAGCTAATGAGTGGCAAATCAGGCTTCAGCATCCATGTTGTTTGCCATACTATTCTACTTCTCATTTACTGTATAAAAAAACTATTGAGTTCCAAATGCCTACTGGTTACCTAAATGGGGATCTGAGTAAATAGTTAGATGTAGGAGAAAGGAAAAAGGAAGGAATATTGCAAAACAATAACAGCTAGAAAATACTTAACTTTTGTTAGGCACTTACTATGTGTTATATGCTATACTTAGGACTTTAATTGAATTTCTTTTTTTTGAGTTGGAGTCTCACTCTGTCACCCAGGCTGAAGTGCAGTGGCACACTCACAGCCACCTCAGCCTCGACCTGCTGGGCTCAGGTGATCCTTCTGCCTCAGCCTTCCAAGTAACTAGAACTACAGGCATATGCCACCATGCCCAGCTATTTTTTGATTTATTATAGAGACAAGGTCTCACCCAATTGCTCAGGCTGGAACCCCTGGGGCTCAGGCAGTCCTCTCACCTCAGCCTCCCAAAGTGTTGGGATTATAGTCTTGAGCCACCTTGCCCAAACAAATTGAATTTCTTATTTGATATACCAAGCCAGTAAACTAGGTAGCACCGTTTCCATTTTACAAGGATTGAGAAAACAACTTGACCAGTGGTATCACACAGTCAATAAATTGTAGAATTAGAATTCAAGCCCACATGACTTTTTTTCCCCTAAAACCAGCATTCATGTCTAGGTGTACTTGTATTGTTATTAAATATATCTTATGTCCTCTGTTGCTAAATTCAGTATCTCATTTGATTCTTAGAATAATCGCGTGAGGTGAATTGTTTTTATTCTAGTTTTACTGATGATATATTTGAAAGCTGAGCAACAGGTATGAAGTTCCTATGGCCATAAGTGGTAGAGTAGGAACTTGAACTCAGGTCTCCATATTTTAGCTATCTTTCCTCTGTTTCCTGCTACCTGCAAAACTGCACCTTTTTACGTGCCAAAGAGAAAAAAAAAGTACATGCTTATCCACTACTGTCATTAGAAAAAGCAGTTGTGAAACTCAGGAACTTCCAGATGGCCCGTTGTTTCACTGTCATCTGTCTACCAGGTATGTCCGCATGTTGGGGGCACTTTACATGAGGTTGACAGGCACTGCAATTGACTGCTACAAATACTTGGAGCCTTTGTACAACGACTATCGAAAAATCAAGAGCCAGAACCGAAATGGGGGTGAGTATGGTGCAAGGTCTCTGGACTGTCTTTTTTAAGCCTGTTTTCATTTCACTGATACCCTTACCCATCCACTGTCACATACACTGTGAATGCTCCTCTTCATCTACGTTGTCTTCACACAGGTTCTCCCATTTCCTTCATGGTGACTATTCAGTCTGAGTAATAGCTTCATGTGGTCTCACACAGTCTACCCCTGTCTGCTTCTCTTTTCTAATGCATCATACATTAATCCTTGTCATCACGTAACCCTTTACGTATGCTCCCAAAAGAGCCAAAACCAAAATGGCTTAGCCATAAAACCCTTCCAGAAAAAGTTGGTTTTCCATGTTACATCTTCTTGGTTCTTTCTACTGGCCTCCTAGCACTGTACTTCATACTGCAGTGTATGGACTAAGTGTGCTCATAATTATAGGAATCTCACCAAAAAATAAAAAGTGTATCTAAGAGGGGAGCTCCATACCTTTTACAAACAGAACACTTTATGTGCTAAAAAGGGATTCAGGGTGATGCCATCAAAACCTTTTCCCACTTAATGTCAAAACAAAGGATAGTAACATTTGCCTTTCCTCTGTACATACATCATTAAACAGTAGAAGATTAAGAATTTGGTATTATACTTTAAATATTGACTTATTAATTCATTCATTGAATAAATACATATTAAGTGCCAATGATATGCTATGTACTATGCTAAGTACCAGAAATAACATGGTGAACAAGGTGGACTTGGTCATGGCCATCATGAAGTCACCTATTTATGATGATATAATGTTAAACTAAGACAGAATTTCACAACATATTGCCATTTTGGGTCAGATTATTCTTTGTTTAGGGGTTGGCCTATGCATTGGTAAGATGTTTAGCAGTATCTCTGACCTCTACCCACTAGATATGGAAGTAGCACACTCTTTCTAGGTACAGGGGATGGGGGCATGCAAAATCGCCCAGGGTTGAGAGTTACTGAAGTAAGGTAATGTTTACCATGGAAGATCTAAATAGCTATTATTTCATGTGCCATGTAAGATATGTGTTCTATATTCAGAAACATTGTGGGTTCATATGTTATCTTTTGGCTATCTAAATCTGTTACTTCCAGTTTGTTTGGACTAATGATTTTTTTTTTCTTTCAGAATTTGAATTGATGCATGTAGATGAGTTTATTGATGAACTACTGCACAGTGAGAGAGTCTGTGATATCATTCTGCCCCGGCTACAGGTAAGAAAGTTCTCTTATCAGAGTCACCCTGCACAGGCAGACAAATGCACATACACATTAAGACACTGAAACCCATGGATCTTAGGGGTCCCCTTAATAAATAGTCTTCTTGTCTGTGAGAAAGATAGTGAATTGGGAGTGAGAGAAAAATGAGTTAAGTATTTGAAGGGTAGAGCTTTAAAAGTGAATATTAAAACAAGAAAACTTTCAGCTGGGCACAGTGGCTCATACCTGTAATCTCAGTACTTGGGGAGGCCAAAGCAAGAGGATTGCTTGAGTCTAGAAGTTCAAGGTAAGCCTGGGAAACATAGCGAGACCATGTCTAATGAGTCAGGTATGGTGGTGTATGCCTGTAGTCCCAGCTACTGGGGAGGCTGAGGTAGGATGATCATTTGAGCCCAGGAGTTCGAGGTTACAGTGAGATATGTTTGTGCCACTGCATTCCAGCCTTAGTGACGGAACAAGACCCTGTCTCCTAAAAAAAAAAAAAGAAAAGAAAAATTTCTTCTTTAGAGTAGTATATCAAGGATATTGTAGGTTGAGTAGGAGTTTTTAAACTTCATGAACAGTTTCTTTCAAATTGGTCTTCATGTAAAAAGCCAGGATATGAAACAGATAAAGAAGGCCAAGAGTGGGAGACTGAGTGCAGATTCCTTAAATTTCCCCTTTCTCATCCTGCTTTCCTTCTGTAGTGATAAATGATTATCTATGAGGTACCTCTTCAGTAATGGATTTTATGATTTTAAAACTACTGTTACAAAACACAAAGGGAAAATAGACATGGTAGGTAATCTGAAGAGAAAGAGTCCATATTGGCTAAAGAGAGAGATGACCAAACAGGAAATTAGCATATTTAAGTTTCTGTGTTATTACAGCTGACTGGCTGTGGAATCTGCTCTTAATTCCCCTATCTATGAAATGGGGAAATCAGACTATCTTAGTGGTCTTTAAACTTCCCTGTGTGGCTGTTTCATGGATACTGAGAGGAGTAAGTAGACATAGCCCCACATATTCCAACCAGGTAGTTCCTTTTTCCTCTAGGCTATATATTGTGCTTGAGCAGTGAGATTTCGGTTGAACAAAGACCTTTTCTTTTAAATGGCTTTAAAGTATAAGATTTGATAAGTTTTGACATATGTAAACACTCTTTACACTATCAGTCAAGATAGTAAATCATTCTCTCCCTCCCTTCTTCCTCATCTCCAAGCAATTGTTGATGTGTTATCTGTTACAATAGATTAATTTGCATTTTGCAATTATACACTACATATTCTTTTTTGTCTTTTTTCACGTGGCATAATTATTTAGAGATTCATCCATGTTGTTGCTGGTTTATTCCATTTTGTTGCTGAGTAGTATTCCATTGTATGGATATACTACCATTTGTTTATCCATTCGTTTATGCAGAACTGTGGGATTCAAGGTCAATATACAAGAATCAGTTATATTTCTATACACTAGCATTAAACAATTGAAATTTGAAATTTTATTCATAAAGATACCATTTAAAACAATGTAAAGATACCATTTAAAACAGTGTTAACGTCAGGTGTAGTGGCTCACACTTGTAATCCCAGCACTTTGGAAGGAGGAGGCGAGAAGATTGCCTGAGCCCACAGGCTCCAGACCAGCCTGGGCAACGTCATGAGATCTCATCTCTACAATAAATAAAAATTAGTCAGGCGTGGTGGTGTGCGCCTGTAGTTCCAGCTACTTGGGAGGCTGTGGTGGAAGGATTGTCTGAGCCTAGCAGGTCAAGACTGAGGTGGTTGTGAGTGTGCCACCGCACTCTAACCTGGGCAACAGAGTGAGACTCTGACTCACAAAAACAATAAATAGATAAAACAGCATTAAAAAATATAAAATAATGAAGGATAATTCTGTCAAAAGATATGTAAGACTTATACATTTTAAACTGTAAAACATAGCATTACTGAGAGAAATGAAAGAAGACCTAAATAATGGAGAGATACTGTGTTGATATATTTTATACCATGGCTTAAGATGTTAGTTTGCCATAATTAATATGTAGGTTCAGTGTAATCCCAATCAGAATCATAATAGACTTTCTGTAGAACTTGACAAGCTGATTCTAATTACATGAAAATGCAAGGGACCTAGAATATCCAAAAAACTTTGAAAAAAAAAAAAAAAGTAGGCTGGGCTTGGTGGCTCAGCCTGTAATCCCAGTGCTTTGGGAGGCCGAGGTGAGTGGATTGCCTGAGCCCGCGGGTTCGAGACCCACCTGGGCAACTTGGCGAGACCTCATCTCTACAATAAATCAAAAAATTAATCGGGCGTGGTAGCGCGCACCTGTAGTTCCAGCTACTAGGAAGGCTGAGGCGGAAGGATTGCTGGAACCCAGCACGTCGAGGCTGTGGTGGCCGTGAGCAGCCACTGCACTCTAGTGTGGGCAACAGAGTGACTCCAACTCAAAAAAAAGAAAAAAAAAAGTAGGAGGATAAACACTGCCTGATTCTAAGGCTTACTATAAAGCTGTAGTAACTAAGATATATTATATTGTCATGAAGGAGACAAATGGATCAATTGAAGAAAATGAAGGAACCAGAAAAAAACCAACATAAGTGGTCATTTAGTTTTCTGCAGTGATAACAAGGCACTAACATTGAGAAAGGATGATCTTTTCCACAGATGGTGCTAGAACAATCAAACAACCATATGAAAACAATGAATATGCACCCTTAGCTCACACCATATATAAAAAATTAACTTGATGAGGATCATAAACAATATAAAATATACAAGCAAAAACTATTAAATTTAAGAAAACATAGGTAAAAATCTTAAAGATCTTTGACAAAATTTTTTGTAATATTATACACAAAAACATGAATTTTTTAAATTAATAGACTTTTATAAAAATTTTAAACTCCTTATTTTCAAAAGATACTATTACAAAAATAAAAAGGCAAGCCGTAGACTCGAAGAATATATTTGCACAACATATATAACAAAGGTCTTAAATCTGGAATATATGAAGAGGAGCTAGATGCAGTGGCTCACACCTGTAATCCCAGAGCTTTGGGAGGCTGGTGCAGGATGATCATTTGAGGCCAAGAGTTCAAGACTAGCCTGGGTAACATAATGAGATTCTGTCTTTACAGAAAAATAATTTTAAAAAATTAGCTGCATGTGGTGGTGCCTACCTGTAGTCTCAGCTACTTGGGAGGCAGAAGGATCATGTGAGCCCAGAGATTGAGGCTACAGTGAGCTATGATCCCACCATGTCACTACAGCCTAGTTGACAAGCAAGACCCTGTCTTTTAAAAAAATATGTGTGTGTATACATATGTATACATATGCATATGAAGGATTTGAGATAATAACAAGACACCCCAATGGGAAAATGAGCAAAATACCCTAACACCCACTTCACCAGAGATAGCACATGAAAAGATGCTTAACCTCATTGATCATTAGGGAAATGCAAATTAAAACCATAGAGAGAAATATAGTACATACCTGTTGGAATGTCTAAAATTAAAGACTGACTATATCAAGTGTTAGCAAGGATTTGGAGAAACTTCAAATCTCCTCCATATACTACTGCTTTACTTGTAGTGGCTAGAAACTGGAAATAATACAAATTTCCATCAACATGTTGTTGGACAGACAAATTGTGGTATATCCATACAATGGAAAGCCACACAACAGTAAAAATGAACTATCGATACACAGCAACATGAATGAATTGTAAAATAATTATGCTGAGTGATAAAAACAAAAAAATACATACTGTATAATTCTATGTATATAAAGTTTTAGTAAATGTAAAATACAGTGACAAAAAGGTCATTTAGCCAGGCATGGTGGTTCATGCCTGTAATCCCAGAACTTTGGGAGGCAGAGGTGAGAGGATTGCCTGAATCCAGGGGTTCAACACCAGCCTGAGTAACTTGGTGAGACCTCGTCTCTACAATAAATTTAAAAAATTAGCTGAGCATGTTGGTATGTGTCTGTAGTTCCAGCTACTTGGAAGGCTGAGGTGGAAGGATCACCTGAGCCCAGCAGGTTGAGGATGCAGTGGTTGTGAGTGTGCCACTGCACTCCAGCCTGGGCGACACAATGAGACTCCAGTACAAAAAAAAAGATCATTGATTGCCTGGTTACAGGGTGAAGGAGGGGGAAGGAGAGATTACAAAGGGGCATAAATAAACTTTAGATAGGATGGATAAATTCATTATGTTGATGTGCTAATAATTTGGTGTATTTATTGTTTTGGTTTTTTGTTTTGTTTTGTTTTTTGAGCTGGGGCCTCACTGTCACCCAGGCTGGAGTGCAGTGGTAAGATCATGGTTTACCCCAGCCACAGCCTCCTGATTAGCTGGAACTACAGTTGCACGCTACCATACCCAGCTTATTTTTGATATTTTGTAGAGATGAAGTCTTGCTGTATTACTTAGTCTTGAACTCCTGGGTTCAAGCAATCCTTTTGCCTTAGCCTTCCAAATGCTGGGATTACAGGCATGAGCCACCATGCCTGGCAATGTGCTAATGGCTTTACAGTTGTATTTAATGCATGTTAACACATGAAATTGTTTATCAATCATAACTCTACAAACTGTAAAAGGATATTATGAAAATTACTTGAATAGATGCAGACTAAAAGGACTTTGGCTCTTCCAGCTCTACTGTTCTGATTCTATTTCTGTATAGGTTAGAATTGGTAATGATTACTAAAGGGTCCCAGAGACAGTTTGCAGAGGGGGATGAGAGCTAAGTCTTAGCAACCACAGAAATCTCAGCTGGTTGGGGGGTGGTGTCCACTACTCCAGGTTTCCTTTTTGTTTTAGGTGGGGTCTCACTCTCTCCCAGCCTGGAGTGCAGTGGCACAGATCTCAGCAGCCTCGACTTGGGCTCAGGCCATCCTTCTGCTTCAGCCTCCCAAATAGCTAGGACTACAAGTGTGTGCCACCTTGCCTGGCTGATTTTTAAATTTTTTTTGTAGAGATGGGGTCTCACTGTGTTGCCCAGGCTTATCTCAAACTCCTGGGCTCAAGCGATCCTCCTACCTCAGCTCCGAGTAGCTAGGACTACAAATGCATGCCACTGTGCCTAGCCATTTGACAGTTCTGAAGTCATCTTTGACTCTCAGGTCTTACCTTTGTCTCTCAGGTCCTTGGTCACTCAAATACACATTGCTAAACCATATCCCCGATGAAAGTGGACACAGGATATGGATTGTTTGTTTATATCCTGTGCCCAGTTCAAAAATGAATCTCAACAGCTCCCTGGATCTTGAGAAAGATTTGATACTACTCCAGGGCTGGGCCTCTTCTGATAGAACTGCCAGCCAGCATTGTTTCAGCCGTGAACTTTCTAGCCCTTGGATTTTCTGTATGTATGAAGTCCTAGTTTTTTGTTCTAAGCTATTCCTGTAATGATTGATATTCCAATGACTTTAGAATATAAGATCACAGGAAATAGAGACAATAGAAAATGAAGGCGTTCCCTCCACTTTGTATTTATGTTTATAGGGAAACTTAAAAGAGCGTACAGATTCCAGTAAGTATATTGATCACCTAACGAAAATCTTGAACTGTCTTTGAAATTAAGGTGCCCCAGCTGTTGCTCCTTGGCTCTTTTGTCAATCCCAGGAGGCCCATGTTGTGGTTGCAGAACATGGCAACAACCCCTAACTCTCATTATGTTCTCTGTAGAAACGTTATGTGCTAGAGGAAGCTGAGCAGCTGGAGCCTCGAGTTAGTGCTCTAGAAGAAGACATGGATGACGTGGAATCCAGTGAAGAGGAAGAAGAGGAGGATGAAAAGGTCAAGTACCTGAAAATTTAAGGGTTGTGGGAGAGATAGTTATAGAGGATGTGAATGGTCTTTGTTTTTTTAGGCTTTAATTTTTAGCTCTCTTTAACCAAAAAAAAACACCCACAGTATTTTCTCATTATCTCTGCTCTGCCAGTAACTAGTGGTATAATCTTGTGCGAGTTACTAACCTTAGTTTTTTTCTCTGTGAAGCAAAATTGATACTTTTCTCTCAAGACTGTTATGAGAATTAAATAAGATGATATACATAAAGTCCTTAGAGCATAGTATTGGCACATTCTAATAAATGATAGTTCCTAAAATAAATATTTGGAGAAACTAACACTTTTCACAATTGCACCTATCTTAAGAAATATACCTAGTTTGGAGGGGGGAAGTCTATAGTCATTTTCTGTCAGTACTAACTATAATGTGAAAAATTAAAAACAACCAAGCTGCCCAGTTGTGTCAGGAAGCAGTCAGATAAACTTTTATAACAATTAAAATAGACTATTAGGCAGCCATTAAAATTATTCTCAAAAGCATATGGTACTGTGGAAAATGTTTACATTAAGTTTAAATAGATCTAAAACATTTGTAAATAAAATAAGTAACACTATGCATAGAAAATGGCTGTAAGGAAATACAATAAGAAATGTAACTGGGAGTTGATTTCTATGTCTGGAGTGAAGTAGGGATCTAATTTTTTGCCCCTGAATGTGGCTAACTGGTGGTCTCTATTTTATTTCTTAATTCCATCCTTTTCCCACTGATCTGCATTGCCCCTTTGTCATAATTCAAAGCTTTGTGTGTGTGTATGGGTCTATTTCTGGTATTTCTTCTACAGGTCATTTTGTCTATTCATGTGCAAGTACCACATGGTCCTAATTACATAGCATCATAATAAGTTTTAATATTTAGAAGGGAAGTGCCTCTCTTTGTAGTCAAATTACTGTGTTTTAAGTCACTTGGAGATGGACTTTGGACAGGATGGGGAGAGAAGTATACTCAGTGTTCCTAGGTGGTTCTTTACAAGCCTATGCCCATTAATGATGCAGCTATCTCTTGTTTCCAGTTGGAAAGAGTGCCATCACCTGATCACCGCAGAAGAAGTTACCGAGATTTGGACAAGCCCCGCCGTTCTCCCACTCTGCGCTACAGGAGGAGTAGGAGCCGGTCGCCCAGAAGGTAAGGCCTTGAGTCACTGGTCTTTTCCAGGGAGACTGAGCACTGTTGCCTAGAAGTTTGGATTTCAGAGAAGGAAAAATGCCAGGCTATGGAGCCTATTTGCCCCATATATTAGTTATCTATTACTGCAAAACAACCATCCATGAAACTTCATTGGCAGACAGCAGTACTGTTTAGTTCAGTCAGTGATTTAGGTAGGGCTGATAGGCAGTTTTGTTTTTTTTTTAAAGTATAAACTATGTTTACTCACCTGTTCATGATCACCAGTCTGTTGGCTGGTATTGAATAACCTTAGCTAGGATGATGAGGGAATCTCATCTCTTCTTGTCTCATTCTCCATCAGCCTAAGTTGGGCATGTTCTTATGGCAGTGGCAGAACTCAAGAGCAAACAAACCCTATCATGCAATATGTGCTTATGTCACATTTGCATATATCCCATTGGCCAAAGCAGGTCATGTGGCCAATCCCAAGTTTATAGTGGGAGGGTGCTTCAAAGGACGTGGATACAAACAAGGATATAGGATAAGAATTGGAACCATTTTTCCAATCTATAATATCCAGTTCACCAACCTAGGCTCTTCTATTCCTCTATTTTCTTTTTAGGCGGAGTCGATCTCCCAAAAGGAGAAGGTAGGTATTCATTCGTTATATAGACTAGGATTCTGGGGAGGGGGCGATAGTGTGTATACATTGCCAGCCAGATTTGGTGGTCTGAGCACTCTTTTCTACAGCCCCTCCCCCCGCCGAGAAAGGCATCGGAGCAAGAGTCCAAGGCGTCACCGCAGCAGATCCCGAGATCGACGGCACAGATCTCGCTCCAAGTCACCAGGTAGATCATCTGGGCTTTTTGCCATAGGTTGCCTTAACAAAGAAATGTAAGAAGAGCAGCTAGCCTCCTACAGTAGAGTGCCTGACTATACTACTGCCTAGCAGAAAAGGGAATGGGCATAGAATTTAGTTTGAAAATTAGGGTTCACAGCTTGATTCTCACAAACTTTATTGACATGATGATGACCTCCATTTTTTTTCATCTGAAATTACATGATTGAGATCTAACAAAGCAGGGGTAAAAACCCAATGTGATTGTGAAGTTAGCCACAAGACATTAATGTATATGAACTGGTTGCATTACTGCTTTCCTCTCCCATCCCACACCAATTCAGAGGTGCTAATAAGAGCTGTCTCCAGCATAGGGAAAAAAATTAAGCCAATGGGAAGAATTAGGGGACGTGAGAATGACAGTTTAAGAGTAGGAGGATAGAATCTTATCCACTGGCCTTTTCTTGTCCAGGTCACCACCGTAGTCATAGACACAGGAGCCACTCAAAATCTCCTGAAAGGTATGAATTGACCTCTGTTTCAAATTAAGAATTTAAATCTTTATTCAGAAGTGAAAAGTCCCACTTAAGCTAAGTTGGACCTAAAATTTTGTTTTGATGGGGATATTAGGAATTCTCTTCATTATAAGACAATATAGGTCTTTTGCTTTAAGAATTGCTGAAATTATATGTTTTTTGTTGTTTTTCTTTGTAGTGTAGGATTGTGGCTTTGAATAACAGATAGTCTCTGGAGACTTGGGGTTTAGTCCCAACTTTTAAGACTTAACAGTGGAGTGAACTTGGACAAGTCACTTTCACTCGATAAGCTCTTGTTAGAAACCCCTACATACCATATACTGTTGGGTTCACTCTTAACCTCTCAGAAGTTGTTTCTTCAATGGTAAATTTGGGATAGTAATAACTGACTCAAGAATGTTGCTCTGAGACAAAAAACAAACACCAAGTACATTTAATGAATATTGGATGTCAGCTCTATCCCTTTTAGTGTCAGCCCATCATAGTCTTTTCTCAAAAGTCCATGCCCAGCTCCTTAATGTAATAATTTGTGTTGCCATTTCAGGTCTAAGAAAAGCCACAAGAAGAGTCGGAGAGGGAATGAGTAATGGACTCAGTTTTGTTTTAATCCAAAATGGCCTCCTCTGTATATGGGGTATCTGTCTATGTGGAAGAATTAAGATTCCATGGGCAGCTGTAAGATTATTTTAGGTTTTTTATCAAGTTTCTCCACTTTTTTTTTTTAATGAAAGTGGTGCTGAGTTTTGTATCTCTTTTTGAAATGTAACCAACATCTTTGAGGGATAAAGATGTTTCCCAAGGTCAGTTTTTGACCCAGCCAACCTTGACTATTCAGACTTATCAGGGTAGAAAGGATTTGGAGGTTGGGGATATGAATGACAAGGAAAGGATGTGGCCACCTCATGACCCTTTCCCATTTTGGTATTAAACTTGACAAACTTGTTTCCCAAAAAAAAAAAAAAAAAAAAAGATGCAAAAGTAAAGACAGGCTAATTGTATCTGACAAGAAGTTGGCCCAAGGAGTTAAAAATTATCAAGAAGAGTTTCTGAACTGAAGAGTTACAACCACTGTCATTAGTAGTGCTGTTGGGCCGGGCACAGTGGCTCATGCCTGCAATCCCAGTACTTTGGGAGGCTGTAGCAGGAGGATCACTTGGGCCTAGGAGTTTGAGACCAGCTTAGGCAGTATAGTGAGACCCTTTCTCCTGACATGGTGGTGTGCGCCTGTA